GGGTGTGGTACCAGGGAGTTATGTTTGCACCAGAGGGCGAGTTCTTCTAGAGCTTTGTTCAGCGTTGTTGTGACCTGGTCTACGGATTCGCCAACACAGTACATGGTAGTATTATCAGCATACAGGAACGTCATTGCAGTGTTAACTGCTTTCGGTAGATCGCTTGTGTACAAGGCGAAGGGTATGGGCCCGAGTACGGAGCCCTGTGGTATACCGTGTGCAACTTTGGTATTCTCAGAGGGTACGCCATTAATTACAGTATACTGTTCCCGTTCAGACAGATAATCTCTTAGCCATGCCAGTAAGTTTCCCGCCAGTTGTGCTCTAGCTTGTGAAGAAGAATTGAGTGTGAAACGCAATTAATCAAACGCCTTCTGGAAGTCTATGAATACGGCGCCCACAACTAATTTGTTATCGATTGCTCGTCGCCAAGTTTCAGTCAGGTGGATGAGTAATAGCTCTGTCGATGTTCCTTTTGGTAGGTCCATTGGTTGTCAGTGACGAGCGCTTCGTTTTCCGAGAATTTTTTTGTTTGCCGGCTCTAATCTAAGTAATGATATCAGAATTTCTGCCTAAAGGCCGGGTCTGAACAGTAACGGGCATGGATCTTATAGGTCTGGTCTGAAAGCAGGCGTGGAAAATTACACTTTTTGATCTGAAAAAGGGTCAGGATATGGAGAACCGGGCGGCACACACCCCCTCCAAGAATTCCCAGGAGTACCCCCACTCTCCACTCCCCCCGGGGCATAAACAGATGGATCTTCAATTAGAAGCTGATAAACACTTGCTGGATTTTCAATGATTTAACACTTAAACTTATTTACTTGGTTTGTTCTTACTTGCTGTGTGGTTATTGAGCAATTTCCTAGTGAAAACCTAGGGGTATGTAGACTGCAAAACAGTCGTTTTTTTTTCTCTCAAAATTGCCGTTTAGCGTAGCTTAAGAGTCTCAACCACAAACACAAGAACGTAGGATCTATAAAGACCTGATCAGCAAACAAAAGAAGTAGACAAATTAAATTCTGCAAACAGCTAGAGTACGGCAGAAAATTAACACGTGTATCCTGGAGTGCAAGAGTACAATGGTCCAAGTGTCAATTGGTATAATGGCGTGATTCTGTGGGTGTCGCGAAAATTAGTAAGAATAAGGTACCTACTACCCGAGCGCTTAAATCAGAGGGTGCTGCTGCAGGTTATTTTCCAACAGCGCTTCTCTCTCTGTCTGTAACGCAATATTGATGAGCTACAATAAAGGCGAAACAGCTGTCTATGCCTACAATCCCGCGCTGTTTTTCATGAGTTCTTTCGGTGTCGTGTTGATGTAGTGCAAAGTTAATTTTTAACGTAGTACGATCAGCAGTGCAGTATTCTGTCTTAAGAGTCTCACACGATAAAACATGTGTCGCGACTTAATAATAATAAGTCTGCGCTTCGCAGGCTAGCCTTATGCGGACGAACTGGATAATACGGACGCTATAGCATGTCCCCTTGGTGTCCGTATTTACCGGTTTCCACTTGCACTGTACCATGTTCAGGACATGTAAACCATATTCTCTAAAACTGATAATCCTTAGGATCCCCCGGGGGAGTACTGCCGTTGTTATCGAGTTTTACCGAATTGTTAGCAACCGCGATAAGTTTTTTTTTCTGATGTCAATGGATAACAATCGGTGGCAGGAGCGGGGCTCCTGTCGGTGGATGATATCGACTATATATCGATTGATTTCCGTATCGATTTCCATCGATTGACTACACCTGGATACAGTGTAAATCGAGGTGACTACATTCAGCAATTATTTTATATCCTCTTTTAAGAGAGGGCCGTAGCATGGGGAGGGGCCGGGGGGCCCAAAAAGTCAAAACATGCACGCATAAAAGTTGAAAATAAAAATTCATCTCCCAGACCATTGAATCAATGATGTCTCTGCAGCTAGGTGAAACACTTCCTGGTTTTAAAATACTGACACCAGTTCAATGGGTCCTCCGGACTCGACTTGAACCCTCTGCTTTTTAAATAATAAAAAAGCCCTCCGGTTTTTAAATACAATCAGTTACCTTGTGCCCCCTAGTTTCTAAAAGCTTGCTACGGCCCGGAAAGGTAAGGCATGGGCCGTACGTGGACATCCAACCAAGCGGTGTCCTACTATACTGTTTACACTGTACTGTGTTTTAACAAGAGCCATGGCTCTTGGTTTTAATTGTATGTTCGACACCAAAGATTATGTGTCTTTCACTAATACGGCACTTACACATCTCCCATAATGCACTTTATTTGTCCCCCAAAATTTTGCTTAGGAAGCATTGTTTTCAGTTTCTCTCGGGAAGGCTGTAATACCCAGGAGAAATGAAAAACAAAGGTTATGCAAAATTTTGGGGGGGGGGGGGGG